TAGGAAAGTAATACAGGAATAACATTTTAAGGAACCTGTTGAATAGGTACCTTTTGATTTCTCTTCCTGCAACCTACAACTACACCAACAGGTAGAATTTGGCAGATTATAAACTTCCAAAGGGCAGGTAGTCATTTCATTTTTTAATCCCTAGGAATGACATCCTAAGGGCTTAATAAAGTTGTTCCACTGCATGTCTTGAATTGAATCAATATAGGTCTATCGAGTTAAAGAGGCTTGCTGAAGGATCATAAAATTTAGAGCCGGAAAGAACCTTAAAGATCTAGCCCAAAGCCTTGGGGTCTTTTGGTTTTTTTTTTTTAGAATAAACACCCTAGGTGATGAAGTTCACCTTAAGATCACATATGAATCCAGGTGTTTTGACCCCATAACACCAACATATGATAACCTGGTTCTGTGGCAAGGCTCCCAGTGATTGCCTCATTGAGGTTCTTAAGAGTTTTTTCTGTTCTGCTGCTCCTTGACAAAGATTGACAGTGAGGAAGTTGAACTAGATCAGAGATTTCAACAATGTGGTTCAGCACCACTCTGGAGTGAGGCCTAAAACAGAATGTTAAAATGTCATTGGGAAATATTTAGCAAAATAAATAAAAATACAATAAAACATAGATAACATCACATTTTAAAACTAGGTCAATATGTATCCAACAATGTATGGACCAGAGGCCCCTTTTCTATTTGAGTTTGACACCACTGGAATAGATGATCTCTAGGCCCCTTCCAGCTCTAAATCCTATGAAAAGAGATCTTAAAATAACATACTCTTTGCTACTTCTAAAAAAGGATTTTTCCCCATAACACAAAATAACATCTCCACCTAGTGACTACTTAGGAACCTACAACTCTTGCTACTACAATCTTAAAGGTTGATTTTTAATCTCCAAATGAGAAATCAGTGATTTAGTATTTAATTATCCTGGATCATTTTAGCAGTCAGCTGTGAAAAGAAAACTATTTGGAGCTACTTGTTTATTGTCACTTCCCCTAAGGCTGTGTGTGCCTCAAGTCTCATGAAGGTATGGAAATGATCCCAGATTCTCCAATGATACCATTGGAGGCCTCTGAGCCATTAAGGTCTGGCACGCGTTACCAAGATGGAGAGGCAACAACTTGGGGCCTAGTCATGAGATGTAAAGGAGATGCTGGAGAAACAGCCCACCTAAATTCAGAGAGGCTCATCACTGGGTTGTTCAACTACTGTACAACAAGTTTTTCATTCATACCATCCTCCATATATTGTCTGCTGAAGTAAGAGTGGTTGATTTTTAAAACTCTTATTTTTAGTCTAGACATGATTTCACGGTGTTTGGACATTTCTACTTTTCCTTGCTATCGCCAGTGCTTAAGCACATAGCTAAATGTTTAATGAGTGCTTGGCACAGTGGATAGAGTGCTGGCCTGGAGTCAGGAAGACTCCTCTTCTTGAGCTCAAATCCAGCCTCACACACACTTACTAGCTATGTGACCCGAGGCAAGTCACTTTAACCCTGTTTGCCTCATTTCTTCATCTGAAACTGAGAAGGAAATGGCAAACCACTCCCGTATCTTTGCCAAGAAAACTCCAAATGGGCTCACGAAGAATTGGACATGACTGAACGACAATTGTCATATGCTATTTTCCTAATTCTGCTTACTTCACTTTGCATCACTTAGTATGAGTTTTCCTATGATTCTCTATATTTTTCATCCTCATTATAATGCTTCCTTACATTCATATGCCACAATTTGTATGGTCATTCAAAGGAAACTCTTAAATAACTCTTCCAGGGTCACAGAGCCGGCATGTATCAGATACCAGACTTGATGACAGGTCTTCTGGACTCTGGAGATCAGCTCTCTAAACACTAGGCCAGTCTCCTTCATCAGCCTTACACGACTTGAATTTGTTGAAGCATTATACTTTGTAGTATATTGATTGAAGCTATCTGTGGCCACTTTTGTATTTTCCCCTTAGTGTTTTTCTATATTTTATTTGTAATACAGCTATTAACATTTGTTCCTCCATTACATTTTCCACATACCGAACTTCCAATAAATGCAGACTAACCTACTGAAGCACAAAAACGGACACGCTTGTTTGCATTAAAAGTCACTAACTAAAGTGACTAACCACATTAAAAACTAAAAATGTTTCTTCTGTATTTTCATGAATGGGCTATCCATTACTGGTTTATTTTACCCTGTTTAATGGTAGTTTAGTCGAAAGAGTTGGTGGACGGCAGAACTGAGTTCTCATCCAGGCCCTGTTCCTGTGTCTGTCAGCAGGTTACTTCATTTCTGTCTCTAAAATGAGGGCATTGGACAAGGCTGTTAAGACACCTTGGGCCCTATGTCAATCAGAGTTTAAGATTCAGGTATGCTGCTTTGGACAGAATCTAGTTTTACAGCTTTTCATCATCTTTTTCTTCTTTACACATATATTACAAGATAGTTGTTGTTGGGAGATGGGACACTTTGGTAATCACTTTATAACTTGGTTGGTTGGCCCTTTTAAAGGCTGCTTTCTGGCTGCAGTGAAATGTTAAATCTCCTTAAAATGATGACCCAAATTAATATATAATTTCACATATTTATTGCTGTTTTGCTGTCCTCTGAATTAATGAAGTTAGTAATAATGAACTTTGTGCATCTAGAAATAATGAAAAATAATTCAACCTAGTAATTACATTATCTACTATCATTAACTGAGCTAGTCACTGTTTTAAAAATTATCTTCTTCTTGTTGAGTTTAGTCATGTCTGATTCTTTGTGACCCCATTTGGAGTTTTCTTGGCAAAAAATACTGGAGTGGTTTGCCATTTCCTTCTTCAGCTCATGAGGAAACTGGGGTAAACAGGGTTGAGTGACTTTCCCAGGATCCACACAGCTAGTAAGTGACTAAGCCCAGATTTGAGCTCAGAAAAATGAGTCTTTCTGACTCCAGGCCCGACACTATCCACTGTGCCACCTGCCTACCTACTTGTACAGACCAGCTATAGCAGATCTCCAATAATTTAAGACTGATGATTTCAGCAGGGTGGGTACTATCTGTGCCAAAACTGCTTCCTTTTAGCTTCAAGTTTCATGAATTGCTGTGGCCAAAAATATTGGTGGGCAATCCCCCTGTCCTAATGAGCTTTTTTTGTACTTAATTAAGCTGCCCTCCATTCAGTCTTTCTTCTTTTGGTATGATCAGAGCTTTCAGAAAACCCATGGTAGAACTTTAGTGGAGGATAGCTGGTCTCACCTGAGAAAACAGAGGCAATTTCCTGTCACCTCCTTCTGGCTTATTCTATGTAGTAAAACCCTTTACAATCATCACTCCATCTTTCTTCATTTATTTTGATCTCTGAGGAAGAGGTGGCCCTTCTCCAAGGCCAATTCCTCTAGTAGTCCCTTTTATCCCACTCCTTACTATCTCCTCTAACAGACTGCTCTTAAGCAATCATCCTCTTTCTTTTTAATCTTCAGTAAGGCATCTTCCATCTTTAAAACTTTGCTTAAGACATTACCATCCTCTCAACCTATCACTTTATATCTTTCCTCCCTTTCCTAGCCAAATTTCTGAGAAAAAAGCAAAACAAAAAACTGTCTATACTCCTTACCCCTTTCTCTCTTTGCACTTACTTTTCAACACTTTCACAGTCTTGTAACACTTTGTTCAACTAAAACACCTCTCTCCGAAGTTACCACTGATCTCTCAATTACCAGATGGTGGCCTTTTCTCAGTCCTCATCCTTCTTCATTTTTATGTAGCACTAAATACTGTCAACTTCCCCTTCTTTCTGGATATTCTCTCCTCCCCTGGTTTTCTTTCTATACATTTGATCACTCCTTCTCAGTCTCCTATGCTGGTTAATCACCCATAACTCAACCTTTAAATATGGGTGTATCTCAAGGTTCTGACCTCAGTCCTTTTCTCTAGGTGATGTCGTTGATTTTCAGGTGTTCAATTCTCATCTCTATGCAGACAAATTGAAGATCTTTATGTCCAATTTGCATTTCTCTACTCAGATACCCACATACTGAGTCTAGGGGCAGTGGGTCCGCCTATGTTGAGTTTGGGGGCCTGTGATGTGGTTAAAGCTAGATTGTGTGGTCAAATCAGGACATGACTGCTGTTCAGTGGGGGCCATAAGGAAGTTAGGATATTAGAGCTGGAGGCAGCTCTATTAGGACCCACTGATATCTTGAGCATCCATCTCCATCCCTCCAGTCATATCATCAACCTTTCATCTGGCCATGTCATTCTCTGACTCCAGGAGCTACAGATCTAAAGTCACTCTTGGTTCTAGGATCACATATAAGCTTATTTGTTTGGTCCATTATCAACTGGCTCCAACTAATACTTTACAGGCTTACACATTACTCCCCTACTCATACTGCTATAGGACCATAAAAATATGGTAGCCAAGATTCATTTCACTTGTGGCTGCTATAAGATATTTATTGGTTAGAATTTTTTTAAACTGCAAATGCTATTCTACTTCACTTTGGGGAATACAAAGTAATTGGTAATGTTTGCTATAGAGTATTTACATGCATATAGATATTTATACACAACTACATTAATAACTAAGGACTTCTCTCTTTCTCCTCTACCTTTTTAGGATCTTTGTGCGTTGGAAGGAAAACAAAGATTCTCTTCTAGAGAATCTGAGCCAGTGCCTTTTTAGAATCCTGAGGAAAAAGCCACCTATACCTCCACAAAGCCTTTGGTCCTCCCTCTGATATAACAACCCAAGGTCAGCTTCCTGGCTTCTGCCAGATAATTTTAGGATTAAAAACTCCCTGGCAAGGTTCATGCCCATATCAACTGTATTAGTGTCATTTATCTTTTGCTTTCTTTTGCGCTCCCCCCCCCCATACTAGCTAAGAAGGTCTCTTTTTCTTCTCAATTATAGAAAGTTCCTTTTCCCCCAATTATAACTTCATAGACAAGTGTCTCATAGCATGGAACATCATAGCTAAAATTCTCCAGTTCCTCCTTGCTATCTTACCTTGGGTAAATTGGGAAAAATTCCAGTCTCATAATCTCATTCCCCTCAACCAAGTTTTGTTCTCAGGGTTACTACAGCATGGATCTGGAAGAAGAGGTAGTAGACAACAACTTGCTCCTCACCAGTGACTGTCCTGGAATCCCTGAAAAGGAGGAAACATTTTTTACATGCATCAGAGATGGGATTTTTTCTGTAAGAAAAGGGAAAACTGGGAAACCATCTTTGCAACCTCTCCACACCACCACTTCAGTATGGGAAACTACCATACCATCACAACAACCTTGACATATATTTGGAGGCCAGGGGTATCACATTCTACTGTCCAGTTGGCTATAGAGAATATCTCTTTACAAATCTCTTTTAAATGTTGTAATTGGGTTTCTTTTCTCCTTTTCTGGTCTGAAAATGGATCATCACATTGCCAGTCACTCATTTGGAAGAGACAGTTGCCACCAAATTGAAGGAATTGAAATGGGAAGGAACAAAAAATCCATCTATTTCTTCATTTTAAAACTCCTTCAAATGAGACATCCCTCATTCCAATTTCTGTACTGAATGACCTTAATTTATGCACTCTGCTTAGCCAAACTGGCCTTGATGTTCCATATATGTACTGTCTGCATGCTTTTGTACTGGCTGTCTTGAAAGGCTAGGATGTAGATCCTTCTTCTCTGCCTGTTGGAGTCCCTAGCTCTCTTCAAAGCTCAGCTGAAGTTCTACCACCTACAAAAGATCTTTCCGGATCCTCCCAAATACTTATTAATGCCTGCCCCGCCCCTCCACCCCCCCAAGTAAAATGCAAGCTCCTTAAAGGCAGGAACTGTTTAATATTTGTCTTTGTATTCCTGCCCCAGCCCCTAGCTTGGCTCCTTGTAAGCACTTAAATAAGTGCTTGTTGAATTGAATTGAACTCAATTTCATTTGATGTAGTGGCTATGAGTATTATTAAAATCTGTGGTTAGAGCAGAAATCTCCCAGGCTAGTATGTTTTGAAGTATAAGCATTATGAATTGACAGTAAAGTCTGGTTTCATTAATTAGTTTATTAATTAAATTACTTTATTGGAAGTCACTGTAGTTTCTGATGTGTTATTAAGTTTACTTTGATGTTCCTTATTTGCTTTACCAGTTCTGTTAGACAACTTCTGTTTATGTTTTGGTGGCTTTTTTTTAACTGAATTATCCATTTTATGAGTACCAGAATGTCTTGTTCAATGACCAAAATGTGTTAACTTCATGCCAACAATTTTATGGATAATTGTGACTTTTTTAGGTCACTTGGCTCAGATAAGGAAAAGGGTGGAGGTGCAGAGTGACCTATCTAAAGTTATAAAGCAACAAAGGCCTCCAATTTAGGTCTTTTCACTCACCATTTAGTAGTGAACTTAGTTCTTTTCTTTAGTTTGATCAATAAATAGTTCGGGATTTCAAAATCACACTTATGAGCCTTTTATAAAGATATATGCCTATGTTAGAAAAGCAGGGAGACACATTACTTAATGATGAAATAAGTCTCACAAACATCAGTCCTGCAAACCCAAATCTGCAAAGTGCCAGATAGCTCCCAGAAAAGGCATCTATGCTTTGAACCCAATGTTTGAAAATTGTGTCCCCTTTGAATAGTTACCCCTTGGAGACTTCCAGTTATAAGATAAATGACTTTACTTACACCAAATAAATATCTTGATGCCATGAACAGAAATTTTCTGGCATTAAAATGCAAATATGTATACATATTTTATATATATATATATATATATATATATATATACATACAAATATTCATTAGACTATAAGCTCCTTGAGAACAAGAAAGAAGAAAAGAAACATTTCTAAAATGTCTACTATATGCCAGGTCTTTACAAATATTCCATTTCATCCTCACAACAATCCTGGGAGGTAGGTGCTATTATCATCCCCAATTTGCATTTGAGGAAACTGAAGCAAAATGGGGTTACGTGCTTTGCCCAGACTCACAGAGATAGTAACCTTTGAGGCCTCCCATTGGATGTGAACTTGAAGGATCTTCCAGCACTCTGTGGAATAAATCACTTAGCTCCTTTATAACCCCAGAGCTTAGCATAGTACCTGGTACACAGTATTAATCAATCAATGAACATTTATTAAGTACCTACTGTGTTCCAGGCAGTCATTGCAAAATGAGGCAAAACACAAGGGAGATGCTTCATAAATGCTTGTTGATTGATACACATACACATATTTATAGTTACATATGGTTATATGTATTTTGTATGTAGTTTATAAGCATGCTATACATATAACTGGAGGAAGATGACACATTAGCCACCAAATTGGCTTATTATGGAAGTGCATGTTTATGGATTTAAAAAAAGTGCTCCTCTACTGAGTTAATTTAAAAAATAATTTGATAAGTGTAATTTCAACATAATTGACTTCCTTTGCAACTCTAGGTTTTTTTTTAAATGCATTTAAAAACTGACTTGTCCAGACTGCCCAATGCGGGTCTCTGAAACAAACAAATTCAAACTCCTCCCCTATAACCTTCTTTCATAAGTATCCACCCAGTTCACATGACAAACAATTCGCCAATTGAAAAAAAACCCAACCGCACCTTCAGCTACACAACTTTTCTCAGGAGTAGGTGCCTCTCCGCCACGTGCGCTCTAGCTCGAGGTAACCCTTCCTTGGTTGGCTCCCAAAAACATTTCTGGGACTGAACTACTCCCTCATTGGCTACCCTCTCTGCCCGTCCAAACCACTTCGCCGCACGGCCATGTGGTCCTTTCAGATTTCAACTGTGAGCCCGCCCATTTCTGTGTTTCGGCTGGTTCCCACCGAGTGAGCGCAGGCTGGGCTGGGGGAGGGGGCACTCCTGCTCCCCGCCCCCCGCCCTCCCACCTCCCGGGGGCTCCTAGGAGCTGGACCCTGATTGGCTGGGAGCTGACCCGGCGCGGCGGATGGGGAGTTCTCGACGCGGGCTGGTGGAGTACGCCTAGCGCTGGTGCCTGAGCTCGGGGCGCGAGCGGCCGAGGCGGAGGCGCGAGGACAGCGCGAGCCCTTCCCACCCCCGGCTCCCGCTCTCCGGCTGCCGCTGCAGCCGCCGCTGCTGCAGCCGCCCCCTGGCCGCCTCTCCTCTCCCCGCGGCAGCCCCCATTCGGCCCGCTGGGTCCTCGAAGCGGCCGCGGCGACGGTTTGTGGTCGTTGGTCCCCGAGATTTGTGACCAACATCCGAAGACCAAAGGGGTGAGGAGGGGAGAGGGGGACGCCACCAAACCGCCGGTAACGGCCGGACCCCCAGCCCCCCGCCTCGTCCCCCCAGGCACTCACACGCGCTCACGCACTGGGGCACACTCCCGCGCCCGGGGCCGCCGCCGGCGTGAAGGAGCTCTGGCCGCTCCTCCCCTTCACTGTCCCGAGGGGGCCGGGGGTTTGGGGGGGTGCCCGGGCCGGGTGAAGGCCGCTGTAGCTTAGCCTCCTGGGGGGGCCTCGCCCGGCGGCGACCCGCCCAGCCCCCCTGCCCCTCCGGGCTCGTCCGAGGTCAGAGCCCTCCCCCCACCTGTTACCTCCTGGCGTCCCCCACCTCCCCAGACCCCTGCTGTGCGCAGCCCCTCTTCCTCGCTTCGGGATCCTCCTTCCTTTGGTGTCGCGTCGCCCCGTCCTTAGCCCATCTCCGTCTCCCTTCTCTTCCTCCCCGGGCGTCTTACTCCCCTTACCTGTAATTCACTCCTTCACAGCCACTCGGGACTTGGCAGGTAAATTCCACTCCGGGCCCTTCCCCCACCTGTAGGAAGGACAGGCAAACTTAGGAAACTTAGAGATCCCCCTCCCCCCCGCTCCCAACCTTTCAGGCACGTAGCCGTTCGGCTGAAACTTAGTAATAATAACCCTTCCTTCCCCTTATTGTTTTCATAGAGGTCTTAACCTGGGTGCATGCTTGGAAGCCTAGGATTCCTCTGCCTTTGACTCCCGGGTCTGCTCCGAGATCTTACCTATATTGATTATTGTGCTTTGGAAAGCTTCTGGAGGGACAGGAACACCACCAGCTGATCCTTCTCAACCACAATACGAGGGCAGGCAGCCAGACACGGTAATCAATAGTTAAGAACGGATGTACCATCTTGATCACTCAGTGAGGGCTGAAGAGTGTTATTCGACTTTATCTTACTCTTGTTGATGTGTGAGGAGCACTAGACTGGGAGTCAGAAGACGCGGGTTCTGCCCCTTACCTGTGTGACTGTTAAACAATGAAGGAATTATAATGTTCTTCGAGAGAGCCCTCATCCTTTGACTAGTGACTTGGACAAGTCACTTGCTTTGGGTCTGGATTTCCTTATCTGCAAAATAAGGGGTTTGGATTAGGAGGTCCCTAAAAATATGGCTATCAAAGGGTGTGGGATAAAACAAGGAGCCTCCTGTAATCTTATTCCATAGGCATTAAAAAATATAATGGTGTCTTGCCTTTAGATGTTTAGTATTGTTTATCAGGAGTCTTTTGGGGTTTAATTATTGGAAGCTTCAGAAGACTTTATAACAATATGACCTGACTTGCTGCTTTGTCTTGGACTATATATGGACTCAGGGCTAGCGTTAAGCAAAGATTACTGTGTATGTCAATACACAGTATGTACATCCAGATATGTGTGTGTAAGTTTTCCTTGGTTGGGGTGGTTTCTTTTATTTTTTTAAAAAAGCCTTATTGGAAGAGGTTTTCATGAAAGTATCACCAGTAGCACTATGGTATTCAATAATTTGTGGATGTGAAAAAAAATTTATACGTAAATAAAAGGCACATCATTTGGTAGTAATGTAGTAAGTCCTTATTTGCTAAAAATTAAAAGTGCTACTAGTTTCCCTGTAAGGTATATATTCTCCATTGAAATATTTTGTAACTTGACTTTTCACATATATGATGACATCAGGACCAGACTGATGATATGGTTATAGATCATAATACTTTGCTTGTCATTGCATCTCCTCATTTAAATCTTAAATTCCATGTTTTTCTCTAGCTATAGTATGAGATAATAAAATTTCTTTAATGGGTAGGATGCAATCAAACTTCATAACATTTCCATTTTACAGTTATAGAACCTTGGCAAGTAGGCTTCGATTTGTGAAGTTACGTGCATAAACAGTTGTTGGCAAGAGTCCATGTTTGCACATAGGAATAGTCTATACTAGTTATATATTTATTATGACAACTCTTGTATAACCTTTGAAACTTTTATCACTAAGGCCCACAGAACTTTCAGTGCAGTTATCCATTTTAATTTACTACCTAATGATTGGTGAAAGAGGGAAGAAAATAAAAATCAGTATTTTCATTGATAACTTCACAGAAGACCTTGGAAAATATTACATAAGGAATTGTGTGTTTCATTAGGAAGAGAGTACTTGTCAAAAAAAGGTCTGATTTAGGGTCAAAGAACATGTTACCTTTTGATATTCATAATCATCTAAAAATTACAACTCTAGTATAAGGTAGTAATCTATTTTAAAAAATTTTGTAACTTAGCCATCCTAAACTTAAAGTAAATCTGACAGTATTCCCAAAATACATGAAACATCTTTTTGAGAATATTTTATTAAATTGCTTGTATACCTCCTATGAAAATAAATGTACTGGCCACGTAATGCTATGTGTTATACTGTATGCCCAAAATATTTGTGTTGATCCAGCCACATTTCTTTGGTTAGCTCCTTTCTTATAATAAATGTCTTTGTGTTGAATTCTATGACTGGAACAGTGAATAGATGGCTTAACCAATCATTGAGTGAACGATGAACCCTAGCCTTACTGAGCACCACACTTTAAACAGTTAGACCAAGAGGCTAGAAACTTAACTACTACATATTATATGTAATGCATTAAAGGATTGACTTGATCTCTAAGAAGATACTTTCGGATCTTAAGCTGATGTATTTAATTTTTAATTTAATTTAAAAGTTCAGGTAAAGTCTATGTAATGATAATTTTAAAAATTTTACAACAAATCTTCATGATGCTTTAGGAAAGGAGAATTTCTATATAAGGATTTAAATTTGATAAATGAAATGTAATTCTGTGGACTTACATTTGTTAAGTTATAGGTATGTTTAGTTATAAAACTATCACTTTTCTGGGTAACGCACTGTCTGTTGCTGCTGCTGTTCAGTTGTTTTTCAGTTATGTCCGACTCGTCTTAAAACCATTTGGGGTTTCTTGGAAAGATATTGGAATGGTTTTCAATCTTCTTCATCAGCTCATTTTACAGATGAGGAAACTGAGGTAAACTCGGTTAAGTGACTGACTTGCCCAGGTCAAACAGCTAGTAGTGTTCGTGGTGCTCTGTCCACTGCACCACCTACCTGTCTACTGTTTTTTTAAGGGCATTAAAAATTTTAAAGTCTTGATTATTATTGACAACAAGATTTTAAAATGTAAAAAAAAAATACAGTCAACATGTAAACCTAATGGTCTTGAATATACCCATGTTTTGGCTATATTATTTCCTTGCCTCCATAGCTTGCTGGTTTTATCCCCCCTGAGTGTCAGGAGACGTCTTTGAAAGTTCAAAGTCTTGGTCTAGAGAATTGTCTGTAGAGATCACACGTAGGTGTGGTGCAACATTTTCTGCCTTATAATTTACACTTCCATATGAGCGATGCCCTGATTACATTCTCATGTCCATCACCTTTACTCCTACAACCACAAGACTGTAGTTTTAGGCTGGCCTGTGGCAATGCTTTGGGTGACTAGGATTGAAATAATAGTAGTTGAGAAGGGAGTAATTAGTTTTGGCACCTCATTTGGGAGTGGAACACAGTTAGGTAATCAGCATGTATAGCTCATCACTTTTGATTCCTAAACTGTTAAAGGGAACTCACTAGTGGATTGTCCCAGGATCAAATGTAAAGATGATTTTTCTAATTGAAATTTAAAAATCGAATTCTCCTGGAAGTGAACTTAAACTAAATCATAAGCTCCTTAGATTAGATGTAAAAATTTCTTGCCAGTAAAGATGATTGGGCAATTGAAATTTGAATAGGTCAGTAAAGAAAATTATATAATTTCTTCCTTGGAAATATTTTATGTTTTAATAATTCATCTTTTGTCTTGGCTTTAGTTTATGACTCATCAAGTTCCTACCATTTCTTCATTTGTATGATTTCAAGATTTGATGCTTAACTGTGTTCAGTGTATATTCCCTACTGAGTCCTTTGCTTCCTGGAGTAAGAGAGTCGAAGTACTCTATCACAAGGAAAATCCTAGATATTTTCTGGGGAAAAACTGAAGCAGTATTCCGCAGAGGCTATTGTGATAGAATGTGACTCTGAAGAAGTTTGTTTTGGGGTAAATTAGTGACTTAATAGCTAGCATTGAAAATGATAAAGCTTTAATTATAAATGATAAAGCTTTAATTATTACTAGAAAAAGTAAGTTTTCACATGGAAGTATATGGAATGGAAGGATAAAAACAAATCAGAGACAGCTTGTGAGAATCTTAGAAAAACTGAAAGGTTTCAGTGAAAAAAATGATGCTATGAGTTTCTTCAGGGGACACTTTAAGGGAAGGATTAGGCAAAAGAAAATCTTAAATATTTTGCTTCAAGAGTAGGAACAGATGGCAGTAAGTAGAATTTCAAAATCTCATAATTTCAAGATACTATTTTGAGTGATGTTGAAGTTCAAGATACACTGGTAGGTTGCTGAATAGAGAAGAATTTAATAGTATCAGTGAAGTCAAATTCTTAGTCATTAATGTGGACAAATACATATCTTTTGAAAAGGGTCTACTCTTAATATTCCTGGTTCAGATAGTGTTTTGCCTTGGATGACTTTTGAGATGATACTTTCTAATTTTATGATTCTCTGAAAAATATGTGATCAGTATGGACAGTAAGGGCTAGGAATGTTTAGCTTTGTTCTTTTTAAAAAATTATTGCAACACGGTTTTAATCTTCACCCTTTAACTTGTTTTCAAAACTTTAGTGGACTCCTTTATGATATGATTGTAGTACATATTTCTGTGTCATGCTATTAGCTTGTAACATGTTTGGAAACTTGGTCATGAGGTTTATCCCAGTACTAATATTTTAAAGAAAATCTATTTCTAATAAAATTGATCATGATTACTAAAATAAACATGTTATCAAAATTTTAAGAGATATTTGTGAACTTAGTTATGTGGAATTCGGTTGCAATACTTTAATTGTATTATTAGTAGTACAAATTTAACTGTATATTTCAGAATTTG